CAGACACAAAATCTAAAGAATTGCAGAAAACACATTAGCAAATTGTGAAGGTCAATGGAAAAATGTCATTTTCAAACATGCATTACCAAAACGCACTGGATCCTTGGGTAATGATAATTCATAAATTCATAAGGGACAACATTGTCCCAATATCAAAGATATTAAAAAAAATTGATGTACCATATTCCAAATTATGCAACTATGTCTCTTGCAACATTTTTTGCCCTGGAACTACAACAAACTACTAACATTAGGATAATTTGCAACTGAGCTGGGAGTCACCAAAGGCTTGGAAATTAAATCTAATTAAATAGTATTTTACATTCTTTACTAGTATTATCTATGATAATATTCAGTCTTACAACATTTATCAAATGTGCTATGCATTTCATCAAGAAATTTTCCAAAGAATTGTAACAGAAGGCTTTCACGTTTACCTACAAAAACTTGTACTACAGCGAGGGATGTTCTGTGGGAAAGAGGAATTAACTGGAGGACTGACAGTTTATTCCATAACAATGCTTTTTCCTGTCACAATTCTCTCAGGTTACAGGTCCAGTTGCAACAGTAAAACAAACTTGAATCAACTAAGTTGAATCAACTGAATGATTACAATTTTGGCACCATTGATTTCCAAACATTCCCACATTCAAGTGAGGACATGGTCATTTGAATTTCACCAGAAGACACTTGCTACCTACAGTGCTGATGAGGGGTGTAAACCCAAAACGTTGACTTTTCTGCTCCTCTGATGCTGTCTGACCTGCTGTGCTCCTCCAGCTCCACACTGTATTGAAATTGAATATATTATCATTTTAGTATAGGTTTACAGACAGCATGGTGGAGCATCACTTCATTGAAATCCCATACTTAGAGATCATGGTCCTGATCAGTCTATTGTTGATAATCATCAAGCAGAGGTGGGTGTTTGATCCTCAGAAGGGGTAATTGCATTTGATTGCATTCACTTAATACTTAATGGCTAAATTTAGTGACCTTTGCTAAAGGTAAAATGAGGTAGGGAGGAACACGTTGGTTATTTGCCCAATGAATTGTGCTGTTTGGTGCGGCAACATGCCGAAATGGGGTAAGGGGGAGTTTAAATAAAAACCTTCTTAAAAGAAGGAATTTTGCAATCAGAAGGTACATATACCAGTATGACTCCTCACTATAATGTAATGCTAACAGAAACAGTGTATATTGACTGTAGGTTAATTCTGGAATTCATTACGTAACCATACAGAAGTGGGTGGAACTGGTAATCTTCTGCATCATCAATCCCTCTTTATATCCTGTCAATGTGTTAGTGTAGACAGTGAATTTGTTCTTTGTACTTTGTTCTTGAACAATCTATGAAATCCATTGTTTATCTTCAGTTATGTCACAGAATACTTTTAATAATATCTACTAAATGAGCAAATTATCTGTTGTATTTTAACAAGTTTCCCTATTTCTGTAAACCACAACTCATTGTTAATTCAATAGTCTGCACTGTCCTCCAGTACATTATGCAAATGGACATTCCTCTAGTGTGACTGTAATTAGTAAGTGTTGGCATTTGGTTGAGGGAGTTATCAGTGCAAGCCTGATCCTGCTCACAGATATGACAAGCATGCACTGTCCAGCAGGAGCCAGTGGATAGTAAGAGAGTTTGAATGCCATTCCCTCCTTTGCTGGGGTGGGGGTGGTGGGGAAGAAAAGGACAAGTTGTCGGAAATCATAGCAGCTCCACTTCTTGCTACCTGAAATCAACAAAACTTAGATCAGGCCCAGTACAGAGTGTGGAACCTTTCTGGTTTCGTATGACTTTGTACATTTAACAACAAATCCGTTTTTTTTACTGCACGGTTTGAAACACTCTATTTAAATCTGAGAAAGTAATCATTTTCCCTTGTAGATCAACCAACCCTAGCAATGTGGATAAGAGAGACTTCTAATTACATCCTGTGTCCCATTCTGAACTATTAATTTGCAATAGCACCAGATAGGTCACTTTACACTACGGTACTAAACTGTTATTTTAACTTACCACACCTCTTTAAAAATTGGCTGAAATATAACTATTACTGCCTTTAGGCATCAAAACAATCTTTTCACCAACAGCAGGAAGAATTAGTTACACACAATATAAATCAACCATTTCCCCACCCTAATGTGGTGCTTCTTAGATTACATCATCAAAAATGGGGGCAGGAGATGAGGTATCCCAGTGAATTCCTATTGGGAAACCAATGGCTTTAGCTTGTTTCCCCACGCACCTGCAGCACTGTATTGGGGCACAACAATTTTAACTGTCAGACTTCATTGACATGTGCTAGTCCTAGTGGACAGAAAGTAGTTGCCAATCTCTACAGGATCAAGCAGTCATTGGCTGACTATCAGTAAAGTATGATGAAGGGCTTCTGTGTGGGTTTCATGAGGAACAAGCAGGAAGCCTAGAAATGGGAGGCTTAATTTGCCATAATAAAACTACTCAATTCAAAGTTAAAATTTGATGGCATCAAACTTGAAACAACACTTCTGAATTAGTGACTCAACAGCTTTGTGCAGTTGGCTTATCTGCCTGTTCGAAGTCATGTATTAAAATTGACAGAGATAGTAGGAACTGCAGATGCTGGAGAATCTGAGATAACAAGGTGTAGAGCTGGATGAATACAGCAGGCCAAGCAATTTTCTGAAGAAGGGTCTAGGCCTGAAACGTCAGCTTTCCTGCACCTCTGATGCTGCTTGGCCTGCTGTGTTCATCCAGCTCTACAACTTGTTATCTCTATTAAAATTGACAATTGTGTTATCTAGGTAGTTTTATTGATGAAAAAGTATCTCAGAGTAACTTAACTATCCAACTAGTTAAAAACTCCACAACAATCTTATTTTTATTATCAAATACTTTTGTGACAAAACAACAACTACATTCTTCCACACCTGAGCCAGTGCAATATTATTTTGTACAACAATACATGGATATTTTGCCTGTAATTTTATGAGCACATTAGACAAATTAATCTAAGGCAGCATGTATTTTTCCATGCGATGCTTTTTCTTTGAGGTATTTTTAACAAGATAACTGGAATTATCTTCAGTAAGTGTGCCTGGATAGGTTTCTATACAGTGGTGTAATGTTGAAGCTGTATTCTTTAAAAAAAAAGACTGAGAATTCATGATAACTGGAAGTTTGGATCCATAGTTCAGAATGTAGTTGCCATTTGTTTACTCTCAACAACTAAGTATGTACACTAATGTTACAAAACAGTAAAGGAAGTTCATGCAAGTCAGAATGAACTTATCACATTCAATTTTGCAATTTACATGTTATGGTTCACTGGCCAGCAGGCACGAATAATGTTATGTTTCTTTAAATCTGACAATAGAACATTTAGTTCCATGATTCATCAATTTATTGGAGGCTACTGTACAGTCTTAGGTCTGGAATATGAATTCTGAAATAGTTAAAAATTTTAACCATAGCAGTCATCCTTTTTTTTCCATTTTCACAGAATCTGCCCAAAATATAGCCATAATATTTTCTCCTTATTTGGTTTAGGGACTTATTCCAGGCACGTGAGCATTCACAACAGTACACAAAAACAAAATTTGCTGGAAAAGCTCAGCAGGTCTGGCAGCATCTGTGAAGAAAGCATCAGAGTTAACGTTTCGGGTCCGGTGACCCTTCCTCAGAATTCACCGGACCCAAAATGTTAACTCTGATGTTTTCTTCAAAGATGCTGCCAGACCTGCTGAGCTTTTCCAGCGACTTCTGTTTTTGCTCCTGATTTACAGCATCCACAGTTCTTTTGGTTTTTATTCTCAAAAGTACCATCATAATGTCAAAATGAACCAACTTGCAAGGTGCATAACAGTACCACTAATAATACGCCAGAATGTGAAGCAGCACAATTATAACTTTATTCACAGCAAAAGGACATGAACCACGTTTGGTTTTATTTTGAAGATGTGAGCAAACATAGACATCTTTTAACACAGTAAAATTGATCAATTATACAGTGTAGATAAATGGAATCCATCTGCTAAGTACATCATCCTAAAACAACTGCGATTATTCAGGTTAATTGTTAAATTCAACTTATTTTTATGCCATATCAAGATGGGATTCCACCTCAAATAAGAATTCCATAAGAAATGATTTCCACAGATAAATCTTTTTTTACTGAGCAGAATATAGATGATCCCCTGCTACCCACCTCTTCCTAATCAAGTTCACTAGATCTCAATCCCTATGATTGGTTTCTCAAAGCTTATTTCATAAGCTTGTACATGCTGCACATCCCTCTCATTTGGAGGAAAGTATTGAAAAATCGCAAAAGGCATTACATCAGGAATTGAACACAGCCCGCAGCCGTCACATTATTATCTATCACAGGAGAAAACGTGTGCGCTGTAAGCATCTGAGGACGTGGATTGCTTGAGTTTATGAATTCAAGTGCATGTTCAGAAATAGTTTTCAGTGGACAGCTTTTACTTTGTAACTGGATAATGATATTTTGTTTCTGAAGTTGTATTTTTATTTATATTACAGCATAACTGTATAGCTCAGAAATGTAGGTATAATCAGGTCTGTTGGATGTAAATGCAACAGTAAAGCATTTACTCGCAAATGTTAAATTGCAAGAATTTCCTTGTTCTGTCCACAACCTTCTGCATTGCTGCTTAAACCATGCAGCTAACCAGACTGTATGTAATATTTTAAGTTAGGCTACTGTTCACTTATAAATAATAACTTTGATTCTTTATATATCTTCAATTTTGATTGTGCTGTTTTATTCCACAGCTCTGTCATTACCTTAGACATAATTCTGGGTCTGACACATCTCCTACAGATTTAAAAACTTACAACAGAACAGTGAAAGCAGAAATGAAAACAGCTTTACATTTGAGAGGTTTGGAAAAAGAAATTATATTAAAATGGCCAAAGTGCCTTAGCAGATCTGAAACTTTCCAACATTCCACGGCAAAACTAAAATAACTATGAAAGAATCTCTCACCTGGTGTTTTCTGTCACTTCAAGCATAATGCTGTCCTACTAGCCTTAGCTTATTTGCAAATCTTTACGCAGATCCTCAGTCCTTTAAGATTCATTAAAATCCAGTCCTGCACCAGGGAGAAACAGTGCCGTGGAAGAACAATTTAGACATTGCTGTAAGGGCTCTTGTCTTTCATTACTAAGACTAGAAGGCTGGTCAATTCCAGTCGAGTTTCTAACTGACTCAAACCTGGCTAGATTGCAGACACACCTGTGAAGACGTTACCGAGGTCGGATAATATATTGTGTCAGAGGCATTAAGACCATGGATCGCATCTGCTGATGACATCATCTCATTACCATCTTACTGACAACACGGAATGCTTTTCAGTGATAGTATGCATTGTGCAGAGAAACACTGGCGTTTAAAGATAGAAATTTCGGATCATTCCAACTAGTTTTTTTTTTAATCTTCGAACTCAGAAGGTTATAAATTAATTTTTAAAAATCTTTATATAAATCAATCCTTTCAGTCTGCACACAGGAAAAGTTATGACTGATGAATCATCAGCTGCTGAAGCCAACAGTACAATTACTGACTAACTGCTGACATGGCCTAGCAGAAAAAAAAATGTGATTTACAATTGTTTATTCTTTGCAGCTTTATACAATTTGTTCCAAAACTTACAAGGATCCTTTGAAATTCTGTACAACCCTTGAATGGGCTGTAGCACAGATATTTTAGAAAGGAAAATTTTGTTTACACACACTGAGTTTATTTGGCTTGATTGCTAGCATTTATAGTTGCTCTTTATAAACAATTTGGGTCATTGGATTTGGGACACAATCCTTTATTTAGAAAATTGGTTCACGAGGAAGGATCAGTAACAATGAAAACTTTGAAGATAAAGCAAGATCATGTACCTGCTCACTACCAGGTACATTACACAATTGGGTGTACAATTTGCAGCACCAGAGAGGAAGATGAAAAATTGAGCAGGTAGAATTCAGGCATATTTAGTTCCCAGATTGCCTATCAGTCTTTTTTATATGCTTGAACACTTTTCCAGCTTTCACCTCACTAAAGGATTAGAGTACATACAAAAAATTTTAAATTAATATCTCGTTTTTAATTAGTAATAGGTTGAGGGATTATGGAGAGTGGGCAGGAAAATGGAGTTGAGGCCATGATGAGATCAGCCATAATACTGTAGTATTAAGTGGCTGAGCAGGCTCAAAAGACTGAATTGCTGACTCTTGCTCATAGTTCTTATGTTATAATTTCTCAGTTTATGACTCGGTATTACACTTTCTGCCTTTACAGGTCAGGGGAAGAATTACATGTGCTTGAGCTTGAAAAGAGGAACAAATTTTGCATGTTTTTTTTCTGCAATGCTTACAATATTTAGCATTGAATCAAACGTTTTTACAATGAAGGAAGAGATCAGTATTACTTGCTGTCTGAGGATTAGCTGTGGCTCAAGTGGTGGGTCTATTACTTCTGAGTCTGAAGGTTATGTCCCATTTTAGAGACTTAAGCACATAAACCTAGAATGATACTATTAAAAAGTACATTTCCAGAAGAGTATTCTTTCAGATGCAATGATCATAAGAAATAAAGCAGGAGTAAGCGTTTCAGCCTTCGAAGCATACTTTGCCATTCAAGATCATGGTTGATCTAATTATGGCCACTTTTTTCCTGTTCCCCCAAAACCCAAACCCCTTGTCAATCAAAGATCTGTCTCATCCAGTCTTAAATATATTTAATAACTTAGCCTCCATTCTAGCTGTGTAACAGAATTCAAAAGACCCTTTGAGAGAATAAATTCCTCCTTATCATCATCTTAAATGGATGACCTTTATCATTAAGCTGTGCTGTCTCTGGTTGATGTAAAATAAACTAGCCACTTGAGGAGATTTAAAAGCTGTGAATTGATTTTTGAATCACTTTTTTTCCCTCAACTTTTTTCTCACAGATGCTGCCAGACCTGCTGAGCTTTTCCAGCAACTTCTGTTTTCGTTCCTGATTTACAGTAGCCACGGTTCTTTCGGTTTTTCTTTCTTCTCACTATTAAGTTTACATTAATAAAAGCAGTGTTAGACAATTCAACTTTTTTAATAGCATCTCCATGTGCTCCATGGTGGATACTGGGTGAGTGACTATGGAGGTCATTGGAGCCATGTTGGGTTGGGTTGGGTGGGGTGGGGTGGGGTGGGTGCAGCAGCAGGGATAAGTTGACATTGTTATGGTATGGAGCTTATGAGGACCCCTGAGGGTGGGTGGGTGACAAGAAATGGCGTTAGGTGACATGGAAGTTATGAGTCGTCACAGGGTGGGGGTGGGCTGACATTGGTGAAGTGTGAGGAGCTGTGAAGGAGGAAGATTAGAAGGCCTACTAACTTCTGAAACAACTGGAATGAAGTCCCAGAAGATTGAACTGAGCTTTCTAATCAGTCTGTCTTGGTACTTGCTCAGTCCAGTGCCAATGTTCTCCTTGCTGGGTTAGAGGACCTGACTGTGCATCACACCTGACAGCCAGAATGGGTATTTTTAGGGAGGAGGGTTTGGCAAGTCAGGAAATTCCTACCTGCCTTGGTAGGCAAAGTCTGATCTTCGAAGTTACGTCTTTCAAACACTGATCCAGATGAATAAGAACCAAAAGAGATGGGGCTATCAGTCAAATCTCTCCTTCTTCAATAAAGCAACCTATTACAGAATCAAACAGATTAACCTGAATTTCCTCCAGGCATGACATACTGATCCAGCACTAGCTAAAACCGTGGCAAATCCACATGTCATTATTTACCCTGGCCCCATGTAAGTAACAAATAGATATGGAAAACAGAAGACTGTAGGTCAGCTATTGTGCTCCTTCAATAGCCAGAAAGACATTTCTAATGATCAGAATATTGCACTTTGATATCCAACTATTGCTTGATTGATGGAACTGCTTTAACCCTTTATATATGTTCAAGGCCAAGACATGTTTTGTCACTCTTTCCTCTTCAATTTTTGTGCATCTGAAGAAACTATTAAATGTAAAAAAAGCTGTTTTTACTTTTATTTCATACACCTATGATGTTCTATCATTAGATGATTAAACATGTAAATCCAGATATAAATTACACAACCTGATCAGTGCATATCTGCTGCAGATTTTCTTATCTACCACTAGAGATCAGCACATGAGCCAGATAAGCAATGACTTATATGGGCATGATTCCTGTCCAGGGGCTTTCAAGGTTCCAGAGAGGGTTTTCTTGTCAGTCCATGACCAAAATAAGCAGGTAGCCAGTAATATATTCAATCCAAATTCAAAATCACAGAAATTTCTGGAAAGCCTCAGTCGAGCTATAAAAAACAACTTGCAATTATATTTTGTCTTTGAAACAGGTAACTTTTTCATAGAATCCCTACAGTGTGGAAACAGGCCCTTTGGCCCAACAAGTCCACACTGAACCTCAGAGCATCCCACCCAGACCCATCCCCCTCAAACCCACCTAAACTATACATCCCTGAACACTACAGGCAATTTAGCATGGCCAATCCACCTAGTCTGCACATCTTTGGAAGGAAACCGGAAACCTGGAGACACAGGGAGAACGTGCAAACTCCACACAGACAGTTACCTGAGGGTAGAATCGAACCCGGGTCCCTGGCGCTCTGAGGCAGCAGTGCTAACCACTGAGCCACTGTGCTTGTTCCAACGGAAGTAAAGGCCTCTAAAAGCACCAGACCAGAAGACTTGCAGTACCCTTGCTATTAACCACATTAGTAGCATTTTATTCATGCTTGTTTCACATCAGTTTTATGTTCTGTAATAAATAAACGAGCACTACAAGAAAATTTGGGTCAAGTTTCTGTCCAGTGAGAAAGCAGTCTGAATTTTGGCAGAACTGCTATTCAGAATGTTTGGGGCCAAACTGCTCAGAACCATGTGTATCCTTTAATGCTGATGAACTGATTCTGCAATTATAAAGCACTAAATTGTTTGGAAGTTTGGGTTATCTTTTTCTTAAAATGGATCTGCTGTTTTTTAAACATGAAAAGCTGACTACCTTATGTTCCAAAAGATTCAAATCCCATTCATGTAGCCAACATTCTGCCAGAAGTTAAATTCTTCATTTAACTTTGGTTCTGGTCAACAACTAGAAGTAAAAACATACTGCTTTAAACTTAATTGCACACTTCACTTAATATTCTACATAAAGATACACAAAGTGCAATCCAGCCATGGGTTCAATACAAGAATATTTACACTTAAAATAAAAACAGATATTAAAGCTGTGGGTTGGATGGATAGAAACTACTGATGTTTTTAATTTTACATTTTCCATTTTAGTTGCATGTTTTGTTTACTTTACAAATTCTAAGAAGAAACATCTTGAGCTGTTTCAAAAATACTTCTTGCTGAAGTGACTTAGGTCTTGTGCTTAAAGAACTTATTAGTAGATGGCATACTGTATGAGGAGATAGCAAGAACTGCAGATGCTGGAGTCACGTTCAATGCAGTGTGGTGCTCAAGGAACACAGCAGGTCAGGCAGAATCAGAGATGCAGGAAATTTGACATTTTGGGTTTACACCTTTTATCAGGGCTGGGGAGGGGGGAAAGGGAGCTGGGGAATAAATGAGGGGAAGGGTGAGGCTGGCGGAATATAGGTGGCATGGTGATAGGTGGATGCAGGTAGGGGGTAGTGGAGATTGGTCAGTGCTGTTGCTATTGTGTGAGATGACTGTAGACCTTACATAATGCAGTTTTCATTTGTAGTTGTGATTTTAGGCAAATGGTGATCAACTGTCTCGTCCCTAAGCTCTTGAATTTCTTTTTGGAAGATTCTGCTTCTCCACCTTGCTCTCCTCCTTTAAGACGCTGCTCAAGTATTTTTTCAATTGCCCTAAAGCTTCACGTGACTCAAGGTAATTTTATTTTCTGATAATGCCATTACATTTTTTCCTACTCTAATGGGGCCTCTAGCAGATGGTGATGGTGTGGAAAGGCGTGTGTGGAGAGCTTGAGAATTCAAATGAACCCTGTCTGAAAAAAGGTATCATTGTCCAAAAGAGGCCTCATCGGGAAATGGAGAGACAGACAAGAGATTTCCTCAACAGATGTGAATTATAGGCTTCATTCTGTGTAAATATTCAGTTTTTTTGGTTTAACCTTAATATTTAAACTTATTTCATGTTTATAAAGACCCGATACTAGTGGAATAAAGATTGTCAGCATCATGATCATCAGGTTGTCCATGTGTTTAAA